ACGGATTTGAATTTGATTTGGCACAGAGATAGATTATAGTCTGGCCACGTAGGCCAATTTTCAGCCTCGTAACACAGAAGAAGCTGGAAGACCTTTTTTGTCAGGGGAAAATCATCCAATGGCTTCTCCCGCCCAGGGTAAGGCGAGAGAGAGTGTCAGACTGTTACTGACTAAAAACGTCCCGTTCCTTCTCCTGCTCTGGGCCGAGGCCGCGGTGACTCATTGCGCTTACCCCGCAACCCCGGCTGAACATCAGCCTTATAGGGCCCGTCTGTGGTGGTCTATTGGGTCTTTTAGACGCGCCGTACGTTCGAGTCTGGTTCTGGTCGGGCGACGAGCTACCCTTACTCGCCGTCCGCAGACTCGCGCTTACGGTGGCCGGAGATCACCCTTATATCCCCGACGCCCAAAATGTCGCCTACTGCGGCAGCTGGGGCGTGAGGAGGGTAGTTCCCTCAAGCTGGAAGACCCTAGAACATGATTGAGACCAACTTACCTTCTACCTGATGATCTTAGCCAATACAGAAGACTACAACTGTTTTACCAAAATGTTGGTACATGATTTGTTTATGGTATAGTCGGCAAAGGGGCATACGGATTAGGTACCTGATGTTAAGCAATCAGCGCTGCTCATGGACACCTGCAACACCAAAAAAGTTACGAGTGTGTTGCCGGCCGTTTAGGGATAAGGATTTCGGATATTCAAGGATTGGGAAGGGGCAGGATTCGGTGTCCGGTAACCTCACTCACACGGCGAAACACAACTCTGTGGTTGTTCCACGCCGGTTTCTGTGAGACTGTGGTATTACCTACTCCGGTCGAGCCAATCCATTCGTGCCGAAGCATGGCTCTCCTACACTTTGGTTCAGAAATATTGCAAAAAAATTATAATTTTTCAACCAAAAAACGATTATCGAACCATCCATTCAAAACTTATATCATTGTTTATAATCTGTAGGTAATAAAATAACGTCAGCTGAAACATAAAAAAACACGTGAGTTACGTAAAGATAGATATATAGATATGGTCAGGTAGAAAAAAATATTCTTCCATTCACATTGAGGAAATTTTAGATATACCGCACATTTGACGATTTTTGTAACGTGAGGGACCAGCGACCGCCAAGAGGACCTGGGAAGCCGTCTCCTCTTTTTGCAAAGCAGTGATGCTCGCAAAGGAGGAAGCGGAGTGCGTGAGAAAACTATCCTCTTCACGCATCAGCCGCTGTAGTAAGCGACACTCCGGACGTCCGGGATCGAGCTATGATTTTCAGCCATCGTAAGTACGGGTCTGAGGACGGCGAGTAAGGGTAGCTCGCTGCCTGACAAGAACCAGACCCAAGCAACCTAGAGCATATAGACCACCACAGACACATATAGTTTTTTTAGTCAGGGAAAAATCATCAAATGACTTCAAATCTTCAAGAAATGAGTCTACTCCTTCTTAAAAGGCCGACAACGCACCTATGACTCCTCTGGTGTTGCAGGTGTCCATAGGCGGCGCCGATCGCTTACCATCAGGTGATCCGTCTGCTCGTTTGCCTACTTTTCCATAAAAAAAAACTTCTCTCGCCCAGGGTGAGCCGGGAGAGAGTCTTTTACTGACTAAAAAACCCCCGTTCCTTCTCCTGCTCTGGGCCGAGGCCACGGTACCTTTTTGCGCTTGCCCCGCAACCCCAGCTGAATATCAGCCCTATATGGCCTCATATGTGGTGGTGGGAACTGTTTTAAATAGCCTAATGTGCGCTTCGACTAACCTCCATCTATCCAATTTTATCAAATTGCTAACGTAGTTGCGATAAACGTATTTCATAATGCCAAGTAGTGATTTATTGATAAAACTGATATCAATTAGATTGTCGATAACAGCCGTATTTAGGACAATTTTATAATTACTGAATGTCGTTAAGTGAACGAAATTGGGGCGTAGACACTTATTTGAAGGGCGAAAATGGTCTAATTGCTCTTCTGTCCTGGGCGGGGCGAGAATAAGTGTCTGTATACTTATTAAGTAGTCTCAATAAGAAATAATAAATCTCACAAGGTACCTTAAATAGAAAAAGGAAAGGTAATGGCCCATTTTGTGTGAAAAATATACTTACGGCGTACAGAAATCAAATACAGCTGTGGCTGATATGATGATGATGAAACCGCTAATTATTATCCAATTTTTATTGGTGGAGAAACCTTGCAATCTTGCTTCCAACGAATTATTTTTTTCTTTTTACATATAATGAAAAGTGGGTTATGCTTGCATTATTTACAACCATTTACGTTTTTGTACACAAACATTTTTAAACCAGGTCGGATTATGGGCCATGGCCATGACCTTTCAAAAGGAATCATAAATCTATGTTTCAATTTGCAGATTTTGGGTTGAGAGATTAAGAGAAATAAAGAACTTGGTATAGAAATACAGAACTAGTGAAAAGTTACTGTTTTATCTGTGGAGAGTTTTTTACATAGCGAGATCAATATAATCTGGTTTCTTTAGGCAGTTTTTTGCAATATCACAAAATGACTAAAGTGTGGGTGAGCCAAGCTTCGGCACGAATGGGTCGGCTCGACCGGAGTGATACCACGGCCTCACAGAAAACCGGCGTGAAACAACCCAGCGTTGTGTTTCGCCGTGTGAGTGAGGTTACCGGCCCAATCCCTCCCCTTCCCCTATGTCTTCCCGATCCTTTTATCTGCAACCCCTATCCCCAAAAGGCCGGCAACGCACTCGTAACTCATTTGGTGTTGCCATCCATCCGTCCATGGACGGCGCCGATTGCTTACCATCAGGTAATCCGTCTGCTCATTTGCCGACTTATACCATAAAAAAAATTACTCCAATGTCCAGGGTGAGGCGTGAGGGAGTGTCAGACTCTTACTGACTAAAAAAAACACAGTGTCTCTTCTCCTATTTCAAGTCGGGCCGCGGTTCAATTGTTGACATGTTTGCATGTTAAATAGCAATATTCGTTGTTGCGAAAGTAAGTTTTTTACTTTCAGTTTTTGCACGAAATATGCATATTAGATATATTGATTATTAATTTTTAACAAGTTTTAATCTAACTACCCGGTTGGTGAGTTGCCGACCTTTTAGAGATTAGGGTTTTGGAGATTTAGGGATCGGGGGAGGGGAAGGATTGGGCCTCCGGTAACCTCACACGGCGAAACACAACGCTGTGGTTGTTTTGTACCGGCCGTGGTATCGCTCCGGTTTAGCCGACCCATTCGTGCCGAAGCTTGGCTCTCCCACACGTAATCTCTTTATATCATTGAGTGGTAAATATTTGACATATGATTTAAACTTTATGGACTTTGGACCGTAAAATGTCTATAATATGTGAACGATGTATGTGTCACATTTTCTTTGTTTCCTGTTTGGCACGTCTGGGTAGAAAATAAAAAAAAAACTGAGCAGCCATTAGCTGCCAACTTTAATAAAATGTGACTGATCGAAATTGTTAACGTTTAGTTTTCTTTTAAATATTGCCTCTTAGAACTGTATCGTATGGCTGAGGTTGCGGGTTAAGCGCAATGAGTCACCGAAGCCTCGGCCCAGAGCAGGAGAAGAAACGGGGGGTTTTTAGTCAGTAAGAGTCTGACACTCTCTCTCGCCTCACCCTGGACGGGAGAAGTCAATTGATGATTTTCCCCTGACAAAAAAAGGACTGTATCGATTTTTTTTTTGTGTAATAGGTCGGCAAACGAGCAGACGGATTACCTGATGGTAAGCAATCAGCGCCGCCCATGGGCAGACGGAACGGACGTGTGACGAGTGCGTTGCCGACATTTTAGGGATTAGGTTTTTGGAGATTTAAGGATTGGCGGAGGGGAAGGATTGCGCCTCGGGTAATCTCAATCAAACGGCAACGTCAACAACGCTGTGGTTGTTTCACGCTGGTTTTCCGTGAGGCCGTGGTATCACTCCGGTCGAGTCGACCTAGTAACAGTAAAACACACTTGGATAAAACGTAGTTACACCCAGTTTTTAACAATTCTGATATTACTAAATGAGAAGATAGAATTTCATGACAAGGGAATCGAACCCGAGGTTACACCAGTGGTGTAGTGGCTGGACAACCGGCTGTTGTGCAACGTGTTGCATCTACCATTCCCGAACAGAACAACTCTTTATGTGATTTATAATATTGTGACGCGACAGCATCATAATTATTCCCCAGGTAACTTTTATCTAACCATTGAAAAATCAGCCCTTAGATAATTAATTACTTATTACTTAATTATATAATTATTTAACTTAATTTATCTAACAAGATGTCATTACTAGTTATCTAATGTGTATGTAATAATAATGAATGTTAGTGATGTACGCTGTTTGAACAAATCGAATAGAAAACTAATCGATGTTAACTATTATAAACTTTATAGGTAGTTTGTAATCGATTTAAGTTCGTGATTGTTATTCGTAAATAACCCGCTCGGTTAGTTCAAAGGTGGGGAGCGTACTAATCAACTTGTAGGTTTGATTATCGTGAATATTTTGGTTTTAAAATTTGAGTAGAAGAATAAATACTAAGGTAATCGATAAGTACAGTGTTCCTACTTTTCACCAGTCATTTTATGACTTCAAACTTATGAGACGGTGATTCATTATATTGATATATTGGCAAAAGCCAATTGAATGCTCATAAATCAATAAAATGTTTACGACATTTCGCGATAGGTACTTACGTGAATGAAGTAATAAGTAGAAAATAGTTACACCTCATATCATTTACGCAAATATTACAGCACAATCTAAATAGGATAACGATCATCCTCAACAATGATTGATAGCGACATATCAAAACGATCTAATAAAAAAAACTTATAAAACTAAGCCATTGCCTACAAACAGAGATAAAGTTTATCTAAAAACATTTCTTATCGATGCGTCCTTCACTCGGAACGAAACGAGTATAAAAGCGATCGGAACGTTGCGTCCCATCCCTACTCGCCGTCCGCGCCGCGCGCCGCGCTCGCATTCATTCAGTTTCCTTCATTAGTTCATTCGCTCACGAGGTTGAGATGGCTCCAGTGTGTTTACGGACTAGTGAATTATTTTTATTATTATTTTTAATAATCAGCACGTGCGCCGTCGCACCGCCATGGATATTTTCTGTAAAACAATACACGAAAACATGTGATGTAAATAAATGTGTGTTTAATATTGATGTGAATGCGAAAAACGTTGATGAATGGTCACTAACATCCGAGCCGGCGTCTGAACAGAAATGTGGTGTGTTATTTGTGAGTAAAATATTTGAGAATGTACTTGTTGATCTACCAAATGATGGTAGAAGGGTGTACTTCTGTGTTAAAAGCGATGGATTGTGGCACCATAACGGAGAAGGCGTATATTTGGATGCAAATGACGTCATCATCCCGAACGAAATGGATCTGTGAGTACAACTCGTTAATTTATTTGTAAATTAAAAAGTTTAATTGCTCAGAATGAGTAGATTACGCAACTTTATCAACTTTAATGAGTCATTGTGTGAATTTTAGTCACATTGTACCCTGTTTCAAGTTAGTTTCGACCTACTTTAAAAGTTTCAAAAAGTTTTTTAGCGGCACCGATTTTTTATAGCGACCTTTGAAAACACCTGTTCAAATAGGATTGCGATAATTCTTATAACTTTATCCTTATCCTATTAGAATACTATAAACTTAACAAAACACAAAAAAAAGTTTGGTTAAGAATTTGTAAGGTGGACGCAAAAATAATAAAAGTTGTTATACTTTTGATGCTGTCTGGTAGCCCTACGGACGAAGTGAATATAATGCCCGCCCGATGCCGCCAAATTGCCGATTCCGATTACGTAACTTTGTCTGTCGCTTGTTACCGAATTGTTATAACTTTGTTATATGTTATGTATATTTAGATAACATATCGTTATCTTACCTACATTGTAATATATAATATTAACATTACAATGTCTAGTTATAAAAATACCGAATTACCAAACTTACTGGTACATTTTTGTAATTTTTTTTTTGGGTAAAGTGACCGTCTCCGCGGCCAGGAATAGGATGGGTGACGTTCTGCGTAATCGGGTCGTATGTTGACGTCATTAGACATTTTTTTTGAATTAGTTTCTCCATGTGCTGGATCGTAGACTCGTCATAAACAAAAATAAAATTCACAGGAATTGATACTGAATTTTTTTTTTTGGAAGATTATCTATACTAATATTATAAAGAGGCAAAATTTGTAAGTTTGTATGTAGGGAGTAATCTTTGGAAACGCTGGTCGGATTGCCAAAGTTCTTTCACTGATAGGTAGCTATAATGTTCCGGAGTGCTATGGGCTGATAAAACATCACGCTACGATCAAATGGTGCTGAGCAGCGGGTGAAACCGCGCGAGAGTAGCTAGTAATACATATTTTTGTCTCGTTTATTTCTCTTTTTTCGTTCACTCTGTTGGAATTTGGAATTTAGTTTTTTTATTTGTAAAGTGTGTGAAGTCTGTCGAGAGTTTCGTAATTCCACTTATGTTAGGTACATTGAAATAAATCCACGGAAAATTATTTGCGACAACTAGGTATTCAAGAATCTTCTTCTTCGTCTATTTAAAATGTTCGTGTCACAATGTTAGTTAGTAGGTTACCTTACTCCTAAATAGCTAAACTGATTATTACCAAAATGTTATAGGTACTTTATGCATATTCAATAGGCCTGATAATAAAATCGGCAACTGACTTTTTGACTATACTTCTAAGGGACACTATAGGTAACATTTTTTTTCGGAAATACTTACGTTTTTTTTTGTGAGGGGAAAATCATCAAATGACTTCTCCCGCCCAGGGCCGGGCGGGAGGGAGTGTCAGACTCTTACTGACTAAAAACCCCCCTGTTCCTTCTCCTGCTCTGGGCCGAGGTCGCGGTGACTCATTGCAATTACAAAATGATCTGCATAGATTATAACTAATACACGTCTGAATAAAGTCTTCCTCGACTGTCCCCAAGTTACAATTATTATTTCAGTAACGTAAATTCGTCTGAATCATAACTATAAAATAAATATACAATTCATTCTTACTTTAAGGAAAAACCAACAGAATCTGTCCTGAATACAATAATTTGTAGTAGTTATCAATATTATTCTCAAATAAAATCCATGCTTGGTGACGCCATTGAAAGCCGATGATGACGTCACCGACCTTGTTTGGAAATTCCTGGATTTGGATTTATTTGGTTTCGTGGGTCGAGTGGTCTATAAGGAGGCGTTCTTAAACGTTAGATGTTTAAGGGGTGGGGGGAGAGGGTAACAGCAAATATTACGTTTATTTTTCATTTTTTTTTAATGTAGGTAATAGACCGGCAAACGAGCAGACGGATTACCTGGTGGTAAGCAATCAGCGCCGTCCATGGACACCCGCAACAGAGGAGTCACGAGTGCGTTGCCGACCTTTTGGGGATTAGGGAATTTGCAGATTTAGGGATTGGGGGAGGGAAAGGATTGGGCATCCGGTAACCTCACTCACACGGCGAAACACAACATTGTGGTCGTTTCACAGCTGTTTCCTGTGAGGCCGTGGTATCACTCCGGTCGAGCTAGTCTTTACCTGAAATTGAACAGAAATCAAAATGCGACCACTTGATACCTGGTTACTGCCAATGAGGTAGAAACTTAGTTATACTTGATCTTAGGGGCTTGGGCTTGGTTCCCTATGGTCCATTGGTTTAAGTAGATAATAAACCCAACGTAATTAATCCTTGGCATGTCCTTTTATCTAAAAATTGTATGTAAAAAAATGTTTACAATCAGCTATTTACCTAAATCGATGTTAGCTAATAAACTGAATTTAAATAATCTTTCTATGTACTTTATACGAGCTCTTTAATATAAAAAGACATCCCAACATTGTTTACCTTTAGTTAACCATCTAAACGGATAGACTATAGTTAGTTACCTCGCAACTTTTTTTTATGTAATAGGTCGGCAAATGAGGTGACGGATGGCCTGATGGTAAGCAATCAGCGCCGCCCATAGACACCAGCAAACAGGAGTTACGAGTGCATTGCCGACCTTTTGGGGATTAGGGATTAGGAAGATTTAGGGGATATGGGGCAACTATTTTCAGTCATTCAAATTCATATGATACTATTTTCCAACTGTCAGTTCTACTATAGACAGGACTATGGTCTATGGCATAGATAGGACTATGGTCACTTCCAGAGATTGGCGGGTTGGAAACGGTCTGCGACCTTTACCATTACTGCTATTATTTAAAAAATAATCTCGTAATACAAGTTTACGAGGAAAACATGTTCTTGCATTCAATGTGTTTATAAATAATTTTAATGAAGGTTTTAAAATAGCAAGCGTTCGTGGTAAAACCATACAGCATTAAAAACAATTGTTTGTATTTTGTGTAAGTTGTATTGTTTTAAAACAGTCGTATCTTACCCCGGGAAAAGGGAAAATAATTGCTTATGGCAACACTATCTGTATACGGTGAATGAATGGTTTTGATATTTTATAGAAAACCACAATTCATATATTTCTTTTGTACTTTAATTTGACACTTAATGGCGCCAATGATGTATAAATCTATAGATACGTTGTCCGCGCTCTAAAATGACATGAAATGAAGGCAATTGACAACATCGCGCTTAGTTACGCACCAACCTGCCGCGCGACGCTACGTTTGTTTTTAATTTATATCGTGTGTGTAAACCTGTGCGAAACATAAGTAAAGCATGCCGTCGTGTGTGTTCAGACGATGTACAAATTATACTCCAAAAGTTAAAGACAAAAATGTGTCATTTCATGCGTAAGTTCACCAAACAACCTATTTTTATTTTATTTTTTTCGACGCCGGCCCGCCATCTTATGGCGGCCATATTATGAAAATGTAGTTTTACTATTATGTACTTATCCTGTGATGTAACTGAAGATGTATATTTATCTCCCTCTAGCAAAGGCATTCCACTATACGATGTCATATTTTCTTTCCCTTTCTTTACTAGTAGAAGTAGTTATCTAGTATTTTCGCCGTTTTTAAGCGCCGCGATGTTGGTTCATGACGTGTCTATATATAATACGTCATTGAATGGCGCAGTGGCTGGGTAACTGACCGCTGTGCAACGTGTCGCGGGTTCGATTTCCTGCACGGAACATTTTTTGTGTGATGAACACAAAATTTATCCCGGGTTCGGGTGTTAATCAACGCAGAAATTACGAAATGTTCCTAGTTTTTTTTTCAATACGAAAACAAAACATATTCCAAACCGCTTTATAAGCTAGCTATTTTTTTTTCAATATGGCACAGCCTACGATGGAGTGTCCTGTCTATTAAATAAAAACCAAGCCATTCCAGCCTTAAACACACCCAGGTAAAGGCAAAGCCTTATGAAAACAAACTCACAGAAACCTACTCCTCAACAGTCCGCTTCAAGGAAACGCTTCGTGCAATTTTGCATCCTAACACTAACAAAATTAAGTAGATATTCGTTCTACATCAAAATCGGCGTGCTACACGCGATCAACAATTTGATCTAGCCATAGTATAATATTTGTACTTTGATTAACGCCCCTCCAAAAATGGGAACCGATGCGTAACACACAATTGCTATGCCACGAGTTGAATGACCTTTGTCCGCCATTTTGTTTTTGACAATTGATTACGTAACCAAATTCCCGCGTTCGCCGTCTGTCATGTGATTCCGTTGACTATGGTCTTATGGTCGGACGCTACTTAAATCTTATATTTAAAAATAAATGTATGTTCGTCGTACTCGTTACTAAAACTCGAGAATGGCTGAACCGATTTGGATCATTTTTGATCTTGAAATGTTGGGGAATGTTTCAAAGGTGAGAATAAAGTATTAATTTAGGTACTATTATGTAGGCAGTAAAAAGTTTGCCGGGTTAGTTAGTATATGTATGTATAGATATACTTCATGTCATATAGGGTGTGATTTTGGGTCTGCGTGTAACGTGTTTCTGGAGGAAATCCTATTTTTCTTTAAAAAAAGAACTACCTACCACTAGGATTTCCTGTGTCGTAGATGCGTTTACAAACATACGATTTCACATACACATCACACCCAGACCCGGAACAACAATTAGGTCAAAAATAAATTAATTCGACGTTTCAATACAATAAAATATTGAAAAATAACTATACTTTTATTCATCGATCGATCGATTCACAAATTTTTTGATATTTAAGTACTAACGATTTTTTTGGAAATAAGTTAGCTATTTGACGCTAAAATAATAATAATATGATGTCATAACTCAGTTTTTCATACAAATTTCATAGAAAAGTGACGTTTTTGACATTCGGATGAAAGTATTGAATTTGACTAGTTGGAAACTACCGTATTTGTGGATCACAAAGAGTTGTTGATCCCGTGACACGTTGCGCCACAGCCAGCTACCGCGCTAA